GACATAATTCTTCTCAAATGACATGATGTGGGGTTTTCTTTTATTTGCACATAATTTCCTCGTTACAGTGCCATAAATCCTGTGTCGTCTCGTTAAGACAACAACAGAACAACTTTCAAAATATTATCCCCTCAATTTCGTTTTTATTAGACGAAAATATGTGAAACTCTATCACGAAGATCAGCAGCAGACAAAAGAACACCGCAAAACAGGAAACAGAATATTCACTTAATTTTTATTTAAAAGTTACGACCCATGAATTTAAATAAAGTTTAAAAGAATCTGTAGGTTGTAGCAGGAAGTGTCTGAATGGGAGGAAAAAGCGACGAATTACATGTAAATGCCACATAAGATTTATTTAAAAGAGCAAATATCAAAGGGCAGAACAGGACGCAAACCAAATCTAAAAAGGCTCACTGGGTATATTTGGATAATTATGTAAGTGCGCTTGAGCGGAAGGTGGCCAACAGAGTCTGGAGTAAGGAGGGATTAACTTGACAAGGATGAATAAGAAGCGAAGGGAGAACTTCATGATTTAAAAAAAAAGGAACATTTTATGATAACGACATACTCGATACGTGACCCAGAATCTGATGAACGACGGGAGGAGAGAGATGTACATGATTAAAGCTAAAAATTTAAAGAAATATAATCGAATTAGGAAACAAGCGTTGACGCTGAAATAATAATTATCAGAGATAAAGATTCTTCATGCTCCGCTAAAACAAATTATCCACGCTAACTGCCCACTAAAAGTAAAGTACGTAAATCTATCCTTGTAACAGGCCGTGAAGGCCCATAGGGTGGTGAGATGTTAAGGTTCTCACATTTTCTAGACAATCGGCTCACAGATGGCGGTAAGGCTGTCAGCCCTACGCTCCGGCCGCCCTTTACCCCCAAGAATATTACTGATACTCATCTCTGTTAGAGGCTGAGTCGACCCCAGGGCCATAGTGCGGCTGGAAGTATTAGGTGAATTGAAAAAATCCAATGGCCTCATCGGGACTTCAACCCGCAACCTTCCAGCTTGTAGCGTAGTGCACCAACCAACTACGCTACCGCGTGCCCCAACTGCCCCACTAGAATTATAAAATAGATATTTGAAAGACACTGTAATAGTTACGGTCGAATGGGTATTACACAAGGAACGTAGCGGAATTTCATCTCAACAAGCAAGCTGTTTCCCAGCCAATGCTACGAACAAGTACAGACAGGTTTGAGACTTGGTAGGACGTGAAAAGTGAAATAACCGACGAGTAAAAGGGAAGATTATAAATCTTACTAAAGAGAGAAAGAAGATGGATTAGGTCTATTATCTACGAGTATATTGGCAAAAAGAATAATACAAGATTTCTATACGCACAAAAATAGTGTTAGAAACGAGTGGGGATTGCTCGTACTGTATAGTGAAGGGGCTAAGAACTAGATGACCCGGGCTCAATTCCCGACAGAGGAAATACTTTTCTCTTCTCCAGTTTCCAGACTGGTTCTGGGGTCCATCCAGTCGCTTGTCCAGTGGATACCAGGAGTTCTTTTTATCTGGGGTAAACTGGCTGGGGCGTGAAACTGGCCAATCACCTTCATCTAGTGTCGAGGTCAAGAAGTATGACACTCTCACATACGTCTTAATGGTGCAGTGTTTAATTAACTAAGCATCTTGGAGTTTAGAAAGTGAAATTGGTGCTTAAAGTACCAGGAATGCCAGTAAAACTGCACAAGGGTTGCACGATCTTCCGCCCATTCTTGTGCTAATGTGTATTCAGCACATGCTTCATACATACCAGTATGAAGAAATGTCATCACCATCAGTTATAATATTGTCGTATGCCTGACTATAGACAGGGTTGGATTCGTAATTGAATTTATTGAACGCTTGCAGATCGTCACTGAACTATCGCAAATTCACACTCTACAATTCACTACAGTATGCACTTATTTTTTTATTGCTAGTGGGGTGGGACTAAGTCCCTTGTACTGCGGCCACTTCTGGCCTGTTGTACCAGCCCCAGATGATAGGTGAAGGTGATTGTGGAGCAATTGTTGGAATGAAGATTGGCAGGGGAAACCGAAGTGCTCGGAGAAAACCTGCCCCAACGCCACTTTGTCCACCACAAATCCCACTTGACCAGACCCGGGATCGAACCCGGGCCGTCGCGGTGGGGAGCCAGCGAATAAACGCTTGAGCTATTGCGCTGCCACAGCATGCACTAAGTCTTCTCAGTCGGCTGTTTTTTCAGCGCTTGTCACCTGGTAAATGCTTCCAATGCCGCACCTTCTTCAGGTTCTGTGTTCACGTCCTTACTGGCCGCCGACTGCCTCATAACTCACTAAAATCTAGACTTGTCTTGCTTATAACACCTCGGCACAGACCGCAATTCCTATTCTATTGTTGTATCACGCAGCTGTCATACAGACCGCTTAGAGAACACCGTTTCCCAGTTACTTCATTGATGCGTGTTAAGAATCTGTTACGGCCATTACGCAGCAGCGGCCGTTGTTTACAGAGTCATCACCTAGCAACGGAGCAGCATGCTAAAATATGTGTGAACAAAAATTAATGGAGAATAATGATAAGAATTAGGCTATGTTAGAACACTTACTGTGAATGAACAATAAATTACAATGTATAAGCTGGTGTAGAAAATCGTTTAAAATTATCTGCCAGCAGAAATAGCATGTTCCAGTGAAACCATAAAAGTATAATACAAATTGTTTTGCAACGAGAAGCGTTAGCATCCACTCGTCTTCTAATTGTGTTCGTTGTGACCGAATGCTATATAGTATATATAATCATTGAATATCAGAACATTACCGCCTCTGTGGTCTAGTGGTCAGAGTTCCTGGCTACAGATTCAGAAGTCCCGGGTTCGATACCCGGCGCTACCGATCTTCTGAGAAGTAGTGGGTCTGGAACGGGGTCCACTCAGCCACGTGAGGATAATTGAGTAGCTATTTCAAGGAAAAAGAGACTCCGTTTTAGAATACCGATATTAACGGCCGTGGGGATTCGTTGCGCTGACCACAAGACTCCCTCTATTCGCTAAAGTTGGCACTAACTTCGCCGAAAAGCGGCGGTCGCTTGGTCGGTATAGTTCGCTTGTGGACTAAAACCACAGAGTTCTTTTTTTTGTTTTTCCTGAAAATTTCTATGTAAATTTCGAGATGAAAGAGTTCCCAGCAGATTAACAATTCACAGTTTGGTGAAGAAACGTATAGCAACGGGACTCTTAATAGACAAGAAACAACAACATGCTAGTAAAAGAACAGAATGCAATTTTCTTAGAACCTCCCGGAAATAGGAGTATGTGGGTCGCCCGGGAGAAACAGTCCGGCTCCTCCCCTCCCCTCCTATAATCGTGCCTCACTAGAAGGCTCGACAGACCTGTAGCGAATTCTGGAAATGCAGGGTTGTTGTGCCCGCGTTCCTGGCACTCATTTGACAGCAGTTCTAAAATGGAGGCTGTGTGTAATCCGTGTCACTTCTTTATGGAGTTTCAGGGGCAGTAAAGACGAAAGAATAAGTACAGAGAAAATGAAGAAGAAATAGAGAGACGAAGAGAATGAGTATTGAATACATTAAAATGTAGAAAAAATATATAATTTTGGAAAATCCAATTATATTTTTCAACCTGTTAAATGGTTTATGTGGCAAAACATGTGAAGCTCTATTACTGAAATCTCATTTCAGTTCATTCCATGTGACGGCATCCTAATGCCCTGTGTCGCATAAATATATAAGGGAAAACATGATTAGTAGCTCTTCTGTTTCGGTTCCCGTTAGTCTATGGCTACTTAGAAAATCAGATTCTACGCAAGACATTAAGCTTGGTCCTACAGTTCGACGTGTTTCTTCATGTGTTGCAATTTGCAGAAATACTGACAGTTTCAGCATACAGGTTATCTCACTTCGTCACTAATTTATAAAATTTCTTGGATGTAGACTCATGTTATCTGCAGTTCTGACTGTATTTTACTCTATTATGTGTATATTGTACCTTAGTTTATTTCAGTGCTTGCCTGTATTTTTCTAATTTACTCTTGTCAAGCCTTAATTGTTTAAATGGGTTGTAATGACCTATACTGTCCTACAGGGAAATTTCTGTACGCGTTTATCGAAATAAACTTAAGTAATTGTAACACATTCGATTATATTTTTCTTAAGATAACTGTAACAAAATTAGGTTTCCACGCTGCTTCATGTACAGTTTCCACGGAATTGTCGTCAAATTCTGCCATTGAGCGATAAAGGGAAGATAGGAAAAACGTAACTTTGCGTGTCGTCTAAGATTTCAGTGTTCCAAGAAGAAAGACAATCAATTGACTTACCTCAGAGCGGCAGACTAGTATCGCAGGATACACCGCTATCTCCTCCTCCGCACGTAATGAAGTGCAATATCACTCCAAGTTGCGAGAGAAACTGCTCCATATTGTTCGCAAAGACCACGAGTTTGAATCTCTTGCTACTTCTCAGTTATTCGGGTGGTAACCTCGAATATGCTACGGCTGTTCTCTGTCATTTCTATTTCCATATCATAATCATTTTATAAGTTGATACAATATGATTACTTGCGTACCCGAGTAGTTACAAGATTGCAGTGTATGTGTCAGATAGATAATAAATGCAACATTACTCTTATTTTAAGGGTGGACATCCGAGTTTCGAGTCTAAGTAGAGGCACCACGACCAGACCTGTTGCCCATCCAGCCCCTTATCTCGTTTGCACAGGAGATCCTTAACTTGTCGTAAAATAGTCTGTGTGTAAAGTCGAATGCCTAAGTTAATTCGTAAAATTTACCTACTTTCCCTCCATACGCTTGTATGTCATGTCGCTTAGGCACCATTACTTTGCATTTTACGACGGTAACAAACATGGGACCCACGCTGCCCCTATTCAGTTGGTGCAGGAAGCCTTGTCAGTGGTAGTACTGAGGCATGGGACCGCAAACCTTAGCCCGAATGCATTTGAATCACTTGTAGATTTGTTTTCCGTATGTTGCAGATGACGAGTTCGGGGAGAAGTCTGTCTGCGTGTTGCTGGATGGCGAGGAATCCGAGCTCACTTTTGTAGACCACCCTTCCTCCGAGATGTCGGTGAGTACTGCACTGTGCTACAGCCCCACACCATGCCCACTGCATGAATATCTATCGCTTTGTGTGGATAGGAAACTTGATTGAATAAACATTGCCTAGAAATATCATTCTGTTCTGTGGAAATGTGTTGACTTGCTGCCTTCTCTGGATTAGATGGTCATTCAGATTCTGAAGTTTCTGTCCCTTTATAGGCTTCCATTACGTCATATCACTCTTGGCAAGTTCCAGGCAAGTTTCAGAACTATATAACTGTGTTTTCATTTTCCGATGCTTACTGCCTGTTTCTTGTAGTCAGTTATTTTGTCGCTTAAATTAAATTTTGTTTCCTTTTAGGGATGTTTGCGCGTGATTTATAAGACGGGTTATGGATTAGATGATTTGATTTAATGACACCTTATAGACATAACTCGGAACTACAGGAAGTTACAGCGCTATCGCTGATCTACACACTTTACAGTTCACCGCTACGCCCGCTGTAGGGGTTTCAGCCTTCACTAGTCGTATCCTGACGACTTTGCAGAGTCCAATTCTTTTCTTGCCATTTCTTCTCAGTCACCTTCGACTGTCATCTACAGAACTCAGCTCAATTCTTGAACTCATTCAACTCATTCAAATGAAATTCTCTTCAAACGAATTCTCTCAGCTTCTGACAAAAACTAATTCAAACGACTTTCCTCGTCCTTTTAAAACCCCTCGACATAAACCGCATAGAAAACGCAATCTCTATTGTTGATAAGGCTTCTTTACTGATCTGTTTCCTAGCAATGGACGCCATAATGTTGCGCGCGCACGCTTCCGCGGGAATGTGTTTACCGAGTCGTTGTCTAGCAATGGGTCTATACCTTACAATATTTATAGTCCTTGCGAGATATTCCTATTTTTCTAAATAAGCAGGAGATTGTAATCTGCGTGATGGATCAGTGTAGTCCTACAAATGTACACAACCTTTAGTAACAGAAATATATATTGTTATTTTAGTGCAACTAAGAAGCCGAATCAATGGCATACAAATATAACCATCTGAAATTTGTCTATCGACTTCCGCCATGCTCTGCTCCTGCATTACACCTGTTTGGCCATATATGGATGCGGAGTAACTGCGTTGTTTGTGGTTGTGCACACTTCTGCTCCTTTAGGTATGCGATAGCCCTGACCGCCCTGACAAAGTGGCAACTTATCATTTCCTCGTCTTCTTCTCCGACCCGGCACGTGGCCAGTTAGAGAGTACGTATCACTTAGTGTTAATTTCTGTTTTTGCAGAGTTATACATATTCATAATGTTCATAATATTCATAATGTTGCAATAGCTTGACGTAAATAACACACCTGATGATGGCACAGTGATGCCGACACATGTAGTGAAGTGACATGTGAGACTGAGTGCACTACAAGACGGCCAATACATACACATCATGGACGAGTTATACATACTGTTGCAAAATTAATCGCAATATTTATATCACACCGAAAAATAATAAAATATTGTTATATTTAATTAAATATTCAACATATTTATAAAAATGATTAAATATCAGTTGAAGATGATTATTGAGGCCTGTATTTTGCGAACCAATGATATGTACGATCAGGGGCTGTCCCATGAGAGAAGAGATACCGTTCTATTAATGCATATAAAATTTACAAAATGTAAAGCTATCACTGAGACAGGCCGCGAAGGCCCATCGGGTTGTGAGACTTCAAGGCTCACACATTTTCTAGACAATCGGCTCACAGATCGAGGTCGAGGTTGTCAGCGTTACACGCCGGCCGCCCTTTATCCCCCAGGTAGATTCCTGGTACTCATTTCTGTTAGAGGTTGAGTCGACCCAAGGGCCATAATTCGGCTGGGAGGATTAGGTCAATTGAAAAAAATCCACCTCATCGGGACTCGAACCCGCAATCATCCGGCTTGTAGCATAGTGCCTCAATCAAATACGCTACCACGTGCCCCATGAAACTTGTATAAAGTACGATTTATATTTGAGATATGAAACCGAAATTAAATTCCTAGGCAACTTTTAGTGTGGAATTGCAATAACGAGTTTAATCGATCACAGAACCGTAGCCTGAAGCATGAAACTTTCGGACAGACAGACATTGACTCTCCATTCTTACCTGATTTCATGCACTTTGTACAATGAAAGCACATCGCTTTTTTCTTGTGCTACAGTAGATTAGACAATCCTGTTGGAGAAAATGCTGACCACTTCATTATCATTAAAATCAAATCTTTAATTCCTAAGTAAATCCTGTAATTTTTTATTTATTACCTGACTCTTCAAACGTGTCCAGTACCTAGACTATATCCTTGCCGTCAAATCTTTATTTCCAAAGTGAAATTTATGGTTTTCAATTAGCCGTAGAATATCACGTTACTCTGTGTAAGGTTCACACACTGACAAAGCTCTATATGATCTCCTGCTGCCCATCTGTCACTCAACCTGCTCCGCTGCATTATGTATCTGATGTCTCTTCAGTTAATCTATTTGTACTCAGATCTAACAATAATCACGAATTATCGCTTTAATTATCCCATCAATTCGGAAGTTTTGTTCTATCCAAAGGCCAGAGTTTAAACATGATTCTAGACTGGCCATGATTTCAAGTGGAGTGAGAGGGAGGAATCGTTTCTTGTTGACTTACAATTATGAAAATTGACTTAAGTAATGGAACTACCATCTTGGAGTGGCCACTCTACAGTAGAGTAAGCCGTGCGCTAGCAGGGGCCTCAGAATAACCTAAATACCAGGCCGACTGCTTCACTGCATCAACTGCAGGCATTATTTAGACTACAGGTCGCCGCTGTGAACCGGAAGGGACTGCGACCACCACATTCTCACGGACAGACGTCACGAAACCATAGATATTTAGCCATGACAGTTGTTCGCAAGCTGTGACAGGAAACTGACACATGAGACTGGAAACCAGAAGCGTCACAACTGACTGAAAATGGCAGTGTGGCGTAGGAATTCGTCGCTACTCATCCCTATCCATAACGACTGGGCACTCCGAGCAGGTGGAGGACTCAAGGAATCAGACCTCGGAACCTCAGAGTCTCTGAATATAACGCAGTCGAATTCCCCCTTTTGACCGTATTGATGTTCAATTTAGTGGAATTCGAATACAAATTAGAGGGAAGGTAATGTACTGAGCCACTTAGAATTTCACGTTAATAAGTGATAAACGAATTAAATATGTTAACGGGATGTCGACGCCGGTCACGATGGCCGAGCGGTATAAGGAATGACTGTCTTCGCTCGATTGAAAACCGGGATCGTGGGTTCGAATCCCACTCAGGGCATGGATGTTTAGTTTGTGTGTGTGCGTTTTTCTGTGTTTGTGTACAGGTAGAGGCCTTGCGACGAGCTGATCACCCGCCCAAGGAGTCCTACCGAATGTGTAAGATCTAGAAAAACCGAAGTGAACGGAGAAGTTCATGGAGGTAGGCCTAGGCCCACTGGGGCTGTAGTGCCAAGGAAAAAAAATGGGATGTCGACTACTAATCATCGCTTCAACGGTGAAGAGAATTTTGCACGGCCCGCAACATTTCAGTAATGTCAGCCGATTATATGTGGTTCGATTCCCACTAGCGGCTTCGGAAATTTCCTCCTTATAACAAGAAGTCTGGAGGAGCTGGGGCAGAGTAGTCGTTATAGCGACTGGCTACTGGCTGGACGGCTTGAGGGTTCGGAGATCGAGTCCCAGTAGGGTCAAGAATTTTCTCCACGTTGTCCAGACCACCCTCCTATCCACTGGGTATCGGGGGCTCTTTCCGCGGTGGCAAAGCGGCCGGAGCGTGAAGCTAATCACTCGCCTCCAGCTAGTGTCGAGGTTAAGAAAATATGGATCAATACATCCACTCCCCAATACGCCTTCATGGCGTAGTGCTTAATTATTTAAGCACAGGGACAACTTTACCTTTATGAGAGGTCTGTGGCGCGTTTAATTGTATACTCAGTATGTGTAGGAAATCCAGTTTGGCCGCTCACTTTCTCCTGATACCGACCTTAAGAATGTGCGGCGCTTTGTGCGTCTACATACTCAGTATTCTCATTACGCAGCAGAGATAACCTCATTATTAAGTAACTGATAATATGAGCAGGGAAACAACTTGTGAGCGCAGATAGCTATAGTAATACAACGTTAAAATGAAACAGCAGACGCCTAGAAGAGGCAATCTGTTTGGAAACTAGAGAAACAGCCTTACCATTCAGTCAGTTGTATTATGCGGTTTAACGGATAACTGTTGGCATTCACACAGAGGCAACACATGTGAAACACATTGCAGGAAATATGGGTTCAGCATAGCGCAATATTGTCCGAGCGTCGAGGCGGAATTTGGAGACAGGGTTCAGCAGCCAGGAAGTGATAAAGCGTGAGGGAATGATGGAATGGATTTCTTGTGTGTGAAAATCGTGACGAAGTTTTAACGACTGGCTTGACGAAGTCTGAGCCTTCACCGCCCGCACAGAAGCTGATCTGGTGTTATAACGGTACCATGGCAATCATGTGGCTCGTTGACTAATGTAGCAAAATGAGAGATGTAAAGCCCATAGCCGCGCTTGAAGTGGCTTCCTTCCGACGGAATTGTGAAGAAAGAGACCAGGAATTGCCTACAATGACAATTTCAACCGAAACACAAAGAAAATGTGCCATGCTATTTAAAGTTTTGATGAAACTACAAAGATCCAATAGATTGATTGATCCCAGTGAATTTTTAAACATTATTTTCTGGCGTTCTATGCAGTGTAAAACTGAAGGCCTTGCGTGAAGGTCATGTCTGTTCGTCTCAAAGTGATACAAGATCAGAGTCCGAACCGCCACATATACGTGTATTTGTTTACAATTCGATATGGAGACTTACTCCAAACGTTACCGCACATTTTGTTTGCAACCATATTTTTCCATAACAAATGCCGTAAGTGGAACATTTCTTGTAACGAGTACATTTGAACCTTCTCACAAAATCTGTTGAAAGTCTACATGGGGGACTTCCAGTG